TGGTATGACTACAATCACATGGCAATAAATGATCATTTATCCTTTACAGCTTATAAAAGACAAAAATAAGCTTCTTCCCAGATCAGAGTGAGGAAGCCATTTTAATATCTCTGTAATGCTATTTTCTCTATGACCTTTGACCCCAGCATTGACCTGAGACTGATCCTTCACCTCCTGCTCCTCTGAGCTGCTCTCCTTTGATTGGGTCATGTGACCCAGAGCAGTCTGTAACACCAGAGCTAGCTATGCTAACAGCTGTTAGCTCTGATGGAGGAATACTATGGCGTCACATTTGGTTCAAAAATGCCTGCGAGCAAAATAAACGTACTGGCTTGTATGTTAAACTACTTTTGCGAATTTTTTATCTACAACTAAAATCACACATTTGTGAGAAACTGCTGAGAAAATCGTTCTCCGCGCGCGCTTGCTCCTCCCTCTCGGGATGGCGCTCGGGCCTTGCAGGCACGATCACACGGGAAGTAGTGTCAGGAAGCCTTTGACTGACAGCTCGTCATCCATAAGGGAAGACGACGGCTGGAGGCGGGTAACGTTTGCGCTACGTGTGGTCAGTGGTTAGCGTCGTTCATGGGCTTCCTGACACTACTTGATCGTGTCTGCAAGGCCCAATCAGGAGGAGGCTTACAGAAGATGTTTGTCTCCGCCCAACTTAGCAAAACTTGCAGCGTGACCGCGGGATAGAAAATGGTGCATGCGTGGGAGGAGCCGCCGCGCGCGGAGACGGTGTGGCAGTTTCCTGCTCATTTGTGATTTTGTTGTGCGGTGGTAGATAAACCATGTGTAATTTAACATAAGCGTTTTTTGAAATAAATGTGACGCCATAGCTTTCATCCAGAGGCTGAATGTTTCCTCGTCTTTAGCAGGAACCGGTCCAAACCGGTCTGAAACCAGAACCAGAACAGACTGGCTCATTTAGAGACAAAGCTTTGCTAAACATTGAGGTAACAAGGCTAGCGCCCCCTAGTGGTCAAAGGTTGCACAGTGTTTCCTTAACCCAACAAATGATCTTTAAAGTTCTTGAACATGATTGGATTAGAACTCTGACTTATTTTAGACCGTTAAGCTGTTTAACTTCCTGCACAAACAGTTTATCATCTCAGATTTATTTCTTTACTTTATGCTGAAGCTTCTCTGACACTTTGTGCTGCTCAGAATTTGCACATTGCCGTTTTCCTCTTTAAAGTGATCGTTTATGTTACCATTAATCTTTTTAGTTTATTTTTCCAAACCAACTTTTCTGCTGTTTTGATTGAGAGACGAGTTTAAAGGAGAAAACATCTGAGTTAGCAGAGATTGAAGCAGCAAAGGCAGCTAAAAGCAGGGAATGCTAGTTTCCTACAGAACCTAAACTAGTTGTTTACGTAGAGCTAATCCACATAGAACTGCACAGAGATGATCCAGTCAGATCATCCAGATTGGTTGAAAGCAATTGATTCTGTCAGATAAGGTGTTAATTCATCACATGATGGCGTGGATTCCTAATCAACCTTAAATGTAAATATTTCAGTTAATCAATCAACTAATTTATCTACAGTTTTAATTTTATTCGTGATTTTAGTTTTAGTACAAACCGTTAATCGGGGAACCTTTACTGAGGCCATGTTAGCCGCTGATCGCTGCCTGTGGTGCGATCTTATGGATGCCAAGGGCCCCACGGTGAGCCGGTTCTCTACAGCGCTGCCTTTAATATTTACAGGTTAACATCCGTTTATCGTCTCTCTTAAATATCAGCGCAGCAGGACTCTGTTATTCAGCTGCTCCACCACCTGCTGTTAGATCCAGGGAGGTTTTCCAGAACTTCTTATGATAGAAATCACACGGTGACGCGTGTACTGTGATGCGTATCGTATCGCCAGATTTTCACCACTTCACATCCCTACTTAAGTTTTCCATCCAAGGAATCTGCATCCGGTCTCGCCTCCTGGATGAGAATGTGTTCGGCTGCACTGTGTCGTCTAAAGCAGTCCCTCAAACCAAGCATGCAGCGACAGTGGGGAGGAACCAGAACCAGGCTCAGTGGGTGCAGCATCCTGCCTCTGATTGGGGGGTTTTGGGCAGAAACACAAAAGAAAGACGGAAGCGCTGATTTTTGTTTGCTGTAGTTTCATCTAGAAAAGCGAACTAAGCAGATTAATTATAATCTTGCGTTAAAACCAAAAACGATTTGAGCGTAAAAAGGCGTCGTTAGTAAACTTGGACGTGGAGCTGCTCTGTTCTCCTCCTTGGATTCCGGAGGGCAGCTTGGCTTTAATTGCTTTGATAAGGAGAAAAAAAAGGAGCTCAAAAATGTTTCAGTTGAGTCGGTGACAGCGGCAGAGCTCTGCATAACAGCAGGAACAGTGCTGGTTATTCCCATTGACAGCTATGTGATGCCTGCAGAGACCATCGCCTGCATGTAGTTGTTACGTTCAAAAAAGAGAAACTGAGT